AACTGGCCAGCCTGTATCTGGCTGTACCATTATATTTCTGAAGACCGCTGCTGCCGGGGGAGTGTCTGGAAGAACTTTTTTAGAAAGTCTTTCCAGTTGGACAAGATGGCTGGCTATAGTAGTCTCGCTTTTCCCATGTTCTCACTTGCCCTGAGAGCAAACCTTTTGCAGGAATCTTTTTGAAGCAAGTGTTCAATTACTAGTACTTCCATCCTCCCTTTCTCCAAGGTCTGCTTTCTTAGATCTTTCTGCACACAGCTTCATGTGTTCAATGCTTTCCATGGCTAAGTGGTATTTCTTTATGACCCTGCAGAAGAAATATATATATATAATTATATATTGTAAGAAAATGGTGAGAGCATTGCATTAACTATATGTTGTCAGTCACACAAAAACACGCACGCCCCCAGCACCACCCACCCCCTACCACACACACACATGTACCAAATTATAGACGCCTCCGGCCGCTCATGGAGCACCTGCAGCTATAGCATATCTAACGTTATACTGCTGCATCAAATGTATTCGTTTTGTTCCTCTAGCCGGTCTATAATTCACCGAAAAAGCTGGCGGCTGAAAGATGACACACGAGTCGGGACGTATATATACAATTTGACCTCAGATAAAACATGTGTTCGTCTGAAATTTAATACGCAGGTCCTTCCCAAACCCGGGACGTGTAGGTCCGGCCATGAAATCTGACCCTAGGACCTTATATTTTATAACAGACCCAGCATAACAGACGCACACAATGTTATCGAGTAAGTTTGCATCACTCGCCCCCCGCCCCCCTCCCCATACATGTTACCTAAGTTCATCTCGAGCTCGACGATTCATGATTTTCTGAAAACATTCCGTGAAGTTCCAGTCGAGCCATAACTTTCGTTTAAGCAAGTGTCTAATCAGATTAAAATACCAAATATAAATATGGTATAATAGTAACTATGAATCATCAAAATCCAAGTCAAACACACGTATACGTTACCTGGGTCCGGTTTGAATGGGGCGGGCCGTCAGGTCATCCTACGCCGCCAGCTCCCAGCAAGCATAGCGCGGCTTTGCAGGCTTGGTCGCATACTCTGGGACGAACTCCTTGTTAATCGCGGTACCCTGGCGTACGCGGGGTACATGATTAGGCAAGGCCCTTGTCTAATCATGGCCCATGATTAACAGACTTTCTTGATAATCATGACAGGATGGGGTCCCATAGCAGATGCTGTACGGCTGATGTGTTGTGAATTAGGATCTTACCATGGTCAATATTGACCGACGGATACCACATGTCATATGATACCTGATGTGCGTTAACGGCACGAACAACCATATTCAAGCATGCTTAAATCATGCTTAAAGTTGACACTTGTTTTCCTTTTTTTTACGTATCTATACGGCTCTTAGACTTGTACGTAAAGATGGTAATTACGTAGTTGGGAAGAGATTCTTATTTTTTAGGTTTTCCAAGGAGCTTCCATTTACCTTGGGTTTTCCCATTGTCTTGCAGTAGCTTGAAGGCATCGTGAGTTCAGAGTCAGGGCCATTAGCCAGGAATGTTTCCAGAAATGAGTCCGTGCATGTGGTTTTGTTTTATGCGATGTTGTGGTTTATTACTGCTCACGGCCCGTGACTGCCTAGCGTTTGTTTCACATACATCAAGGTAAGATCCAGTCACCATGTGAACCTCAGGATCACGGACTCAATAAATAACCTGTCGTCCAAAATTCTTTGCACCGAATTTGTCAAGTCAATTTGACATGTTTTCGGATTGTTGCCACCATCTGAAATGGCAAGGAACCAAATCAGAATCTGATGGTTCTGGGTTCGAATCCCATGGCAGGCTCCAATGATGTTTCCTTGGGAAAGGTATTCTAGGTGAAAATGAGTACCTAGCTTCAGTTAGGGACGTCTCTCGGATAGGACGTACAGTCGGAGGTCCCAAGTTTGAGGAGAGGCACACCTCAAGCATGTTAAATAACCCACTACACTTTTCGAAAAGAGTAGGGGTCCTTCCAAGTATGAGTGGTTCAAACCTTGCAGTGCAGTCTTATACGCACCCTGTACTGGCGTGTTACGCCAAAAGGCAGTTTATCCGAAACTAACAAATGCGGGCCGGCGACTACTGCAAAAGGCTAATAAGTATAATCTTGCCCCCGAAGAAACTTTGCTTTGAGGATTGTGACAAGCAGCCCAAACATTTGCGTAGTCTCCACCAGACTCAGCCTTTGCAGGCTGCACGGAGTCTACGAGAAAACGACCAAAAGACATAAAAGTAATCCAGGCAAACTGGACCGACCCTCTATGGCCAGCTAACTCCCCTGGTCAGTTACATTGTTTTTAGGCCGATTTCTACTATTCATCCAGCCTGCAAAGAAGTCTGATGGCCATGGGGACTAAAAATTGCGTGCAAGGCAAGCAAGCAAAAACCCGTGTCAGCCACACCAAGCCTTAATCCGACTCCAATCTGGAGTTCAGCTGTGAAGTTCAACTGGAACACCAATCATCGGGTGGCAACAAAAGAGCGAGCAGACCAAGACCAAGGCCGACGCCCTGGAAGTCGGGGCCGACGTGCCGACACACACGGCCGGTAACGCCTGGGGTCGTGTGGCGCAGTCGGTAGCGCGTTCGGCTCACACCCAAAAGGTCGCGGGTTCGAATCCTGCCCATGTCACCGATCTTGTGCCCTTGGGAAAGGCACTTTACACGACTTTGCTCACTTCACTCAGGTGAAAATGAGTACCTAGCTTCGGTTAGTGACGTCTCTTGGATAGGACATTAAATGGAGGTCCCGTGTTTGGGGAGAGCCACACCCCACACAAGAACCCACCGCACTTATCGAAAAGAGTAGGGGACCTTCCCGGTGTGAGTACACGTGGTTCAAACTTCACTTTACAGTCCGGTCTTACGCAGCTTGTACATGTACAAAACTGGTGTGTTACGCCTAAAGGCGGTTTACCGGTTATGCGAAACAAACAAACTCCTGCAGTCTCTATGGTCTGGTTTTTAGCTTGACTCTTGTGACTTTTCCGTGCGTCCTTGTGTCCTTGTGATGACTCCCTGGGGGTGATAGTTTCATACCAAAGCAGCAGATCCTACGGTGGCACGGTAGTATCCAATTGGCAAAGAATTGTCCATTAGCTTTCGCTGATAATTTGACAAACGTAACAGCTAGGGAAGGCAACAACTGAAAATGCAGGGTTATGATAGCCTGACTACATCACGCTTCATCATGGTCTGGTTTTTAACTTGACTCTTGTGACTTTTCCGTGCGTCCTCGTGTTCTTGTGATGACGCCCTGGGAGGAGTGAAGGTCGGAGTCTCCGTAGCCTGCAGTGTGCTTACACATGCTCCCTCGGTCGGAGGTTAATGACCCCCATCCTACTCTCCAAGCAGAGGTTGTGGGGGAATGATCGTTAGCTTTTTATATATGGCCGTTTTTTGTCGCTACCCTGTCGGTAGCCGACGACCTTCTCTGGCTAATGGATACTGCCTGGCCAATTTGATACTGTCTTTTTGCCATCGAAACGGATCTGCTTGGAGATTACCCCACCCCAAGTTTTTTGGGGGCGGCAACCTTAGGTAGCCTTCGTAGCAGGCTTATAGAACTGGGGGTTTGGTGGTCTTCGGCTGTTTTCTGATTAGCCCAGTTCTAAAAAAACGGGGTAATTCAACCAGGAGGGCTATGTTGTCTATATGCAATTAGAAAATAGCGCATAAAAGCTCCCAAAGACCCTGAAGACCCCCAAAACCCCCAGTTTTTGGCATGCTGTGGAGGCTAACCTTCGGGGCGGTTTTGTCATAATTAATCTACGCAGATCCTACGATGGTTAGCATGAACGTATGAGGCAGTATCCAATTGGTTAGCCTTCGATGACACCAATGAAACCTTCGATGAATCTGCTCGGAGATTAAAAAATCCTGAGCTCCTATTGGTAATCTCCAAGCAGATCCCTTTCGGTGACAAGACAGTATCCATTAGCCAGAGAAGGTCGCCGGCCAACGACGGGATTAGCGACAAAAAAACGGCCATATATAAAAAGCTAACGATCATTCCCCCACAACCTCTGCTTGGAGAGTACTACTGGTACTTCTGAGAACGGGACAGTTCTGTTTCTCTGGAGTTAGAGGTGTACGGCCACAAGCTCTCAGGAAGGAGGCCCAATCAGGCCCTGACAACAAGCACAGGCTACCTGGCCAAGCACAAGACACACATCAGCAGGTATGTTGTCATCACACGGTACGTTTAGCCCTGAAGGCACAGCAGTGACAGACCATTTGTCAGTGTGCTTACTTACGTACGACACCTTTGTTATGTAAACTGTTGGCGTCACTCTTTAAAGTGATACAGGAAACACAAATCTTCAATCTTAGTTTAAGGACAGACGGCTATGCGACAGCTAGCACGATAGCATCGGACATTCCAAATTTGTGACGTCCGTGGATAAGGAATATAGTATATCCTACATACGTTGATGAAAGTATCACAGAAGAGTGGAACTCGCTGTCATCAAGTACAGTAGGGGCATTGTCATTAGATAGCTTTAAACAATTAGAGTTAGAAGTTCAAGGGTTAGGTGTAGCAAGTCGATCGGTGTAATATAGCCTGCTGCCGCCGCGCCGCGTGCCTGCGAAGCTGATGTGTTACGCCGAAAGGCGGTTATACCGGCTATACAGATACAATTACAGAAAGTTAGACATCCATCGAGATACACAAGTACAAGAAAACTCTCAGGCGTTTCAAGTAACATCTTCTACTTTTCAATCACTGATTAAAATTAGTGTAAGCTACTTGAAACGTCTGACTGTTTAAAAGTCTACCCTGGTGCCTGATTAGAAGAGGAGCTGTTCAAGTGCTGGTAATCCGAACGTAGCTCAATGTCAAGAAGAGTTTCCATTTAGAGAAGGAATTAAACTGATACGCACGACATAAATTGTTCTAGTAGAAGCTTTCAGGTGGCATCCGCCATCTTTCTTCAGCTCGAAAGAGGGGTCACGTGACCTAGGTGTCAAAGGTCACCCAGATCACGTGACTGGACGAGGGAGTTGTAGATTGGTGGGAGCCTGTGGCGTCCTTGGTCACGGTTGAGGGACGGGGAGCGGGACCTGATGTGCACAGCTTCCTTGACCCCTCGTTCGAACCATCTACTTTCACGGTCTAGAATGGTGACTTTCTTCCCCGGTTGGTGTTTGTAAGTCTGCATGTGTTGTGCCACCGGAGAGGACTCTCGCTTGTGCTCAGATATCCTCTTTCTGAGGGCCCTTTCAGTTTCACCTACATACTGGGCTTCGCAGTCTTCACATGTGAGATGATACACTACACCGCATGTGTCCTCTGGTTCAGTTTTGTCCTTTGGAGCGACCAAGAGTCTTCTGATTGTAGTGCATGGTGTACTGTGGACGGCCACCCCTGTGTTCCTGATCTTCCTGGTAATGGCTTCGGTCACACCCGCGACGTACGGTAGTGTAACATGACCTTTGGGTCTGCTGTCCGTGGAAGAGCGAGGATGTGGGATGAGTTTGGTCCTACCAGGGGACTGCCACGCCCACCTGGTGTATCCCGCTATGGAAAGGACTGTTTTGAGGTGATCGTACTCGGTGTTCTTATCATCTACTTCTGTGATGAGGTGGTCTGCTCGATGTCTTAGGGTTCTGATAACTCCCATCTTGTGTTCCATCGGTTGGTGGCTATCAAAGAGCAAGTATTGGTCCGTATGCGTAGGTTTACGGAACACACTGAACTTCAGTCTACCATCATCCTTTCTGGTCATGAGCACGTCCAACATCGGGAGGGATCTGTTCTCTTCAAGTTCTTTAGTGAACTTGATGTTGGGGTGGATCGAGTTAAGGTGATGGTGAAACGGTTCGATGAGACTGGACTTCAAAACGGCACCTACGTCATCAACGTACCGAACCCATACCTTAGGTGGGTTAGGGAAGGTGGTGAGGGCACGTGACTCAAACCATTCCATAAAGAGGTTGGCCACGATCGGACTCACAGGTGAGCCCATGGCAGCACCCTCAACCTGGGAGTAGAACTTTCCCTCATATTTGAAGTATGTGGTGGTGAGGCATAGTCGCAGTAGTTCAGTGACTTGCAGTGGAGACAGTTTTGTGCGCTCATTCAGAGAAGAATCACAGGTGAGTCTGTCCCGGATGATCACAATACTCTCTTCCACAGGAACACTGGTGAACAAGGCTGAGACGTCGAAAGACACCAAACTTTCGTCGTCGTCCAGAGTGACCTGGGACATCCTTTCCACGAGCTCCCCACTGTTTTTCAGGTGGTGCTGTGTTTTTCCAACCATAGGTGCAAGGATGTTAGCAACAAACTTAGCTGTCTGGTACATAATAGACCCTCGCGTTGCCACAATCGGACGTAGGGGGCAGTCCGGTTTGTGGACTTTGGGTAATCCATAGAACTTGGGCGGTTCTGTAGAGGTAGGGTACAAGGTTCTGTATTGTTCATACGTTATCAGTTCCTGGTCTTTTAATGGTCTAAGGATCTTGGTAAGTTTGTCACTATAGTTGTTGGTTGGGTCTTTCTTGAGTCTACAGTAGGTTGTGGAGTCATTTAGAAGGTCACTACATTTGTCCTGGTACTCACTTTTGTTCATGATGACCGTGGCTCTGCCCTTGTCCGCAGGGAGTATTATGATGCTGGAGTCCTTCCTAAGGTCGTCCAGTGCAAGTCGTTCCTCTTTGGTGATGTTGCTCGGTGGCATCTTACGATGTTTCAACAGATGTACACAGTCAGACCTGAGGTGGGCTGCTTCCTCAGTGTCGGGGCCTATGAACTTGCAAGCCTTTTCCAGGGCGGTGATAAACTCCATGATTGGTAATTTCTGAGGGGTGATGGCATAGTTCAAACCTTTTCTTAAGACAGAAAGCTCATGTGTGGAGAGTCCCTTGTCAGATTTGTTGATCACCCCATTTGGATTTAGTGTTCTCAATCATGGTGTCACTTACTGCAGTGATGGGGGCTTTCTTGTTGTTATCCGTGGTTTGTTGACGAACGCGAAGGAGATCAAATTTCTTCCTCTGTCGTTGTTGACATTTCTCCCACTCAGCCCGGTGCGCATGTGAGACCCAGTTGTGTACTTCTGTGTATACGTCAGCGGGTAATGTGGTAAACAGTTCTTCGTTCACGTCGGCTATGAGGCTCTTGAAAGTCTTGATCTTATACATTATTTCGCTTATTCTGATGTTCAAAAGGCCTAGCTGTGTTCTGTGGATGACTTTCTTAGCTGCCTCACCTTTGATAGATGTCTTCACCTTAATGCTGACTGGCGTGACGTTGTGATGTTTGCAGTGCATAGTAAAATGCAGATGGTTCGCAAACCTGGCGTGTAGACGCTCGAGTTTCTCCCATTCTCGTACCCTCTTAAGTGTCATCCGACCATGTTCGAATGAGAGACGTTGGTGAAGGTTAAACTGCCGTGGAGAATCCATTTAGAGAAGGAATTAAACTGATACGCACGACATAAATTGTTCTAGTAGAAGCTTTCAGGTGGCATCCAAGAGTTTCCATGTTTATCTCATCACGTACGCTGCGCCTGCGACTTTCAAATGCTAGTCTCTACCATACTAACCACGCTGGCTATATGCAGGAGAATATTTGCCAGGGGAGTTTGGCAGCCTTGTAGGTTTGACTGGCTGAGGGAAAGAAACTACCTCCCCGCGGCCGGACTCCCTTGGCCAATTTTACTCTCTTTTTTGCTGAATTCTACGATGCGTATTCCCGTAGAAAAGCCTGGTGGAGGCTATTTAAAGGCAGTTTTGGTACCTGGTACGTCTGTGCTCTATCTGTTGGCACTCTCTAAAAGCAGGTGTATAAATCAGTACATGCCTGAACGGATTCTGTTCTACTGTGAGCTACCGTGCAGAACGGTATGGGCCTTAGGCGAGACTTTACATCACAAAGAAACGCCTCACTGTCTCAGTCTCGATGGATTGAAACCATTCCAGTTTCAATGGGGTACAAATTCCCGAGCAGCCTTGTAATCCCCGCTTCTCATATATTTGGTCAGTTAGTCCTTAACATTGTTTGTTTCTGACTTAGGGATAAGAGATACTGTTCAAGTAACCAGAAAAGCGAGACTTTCTATCACAAAAAAACGTCTCACTCTCTCTGAAAATTAATGGATCGAAACCGGCCATTCCAGTTTCAATGGAGTACAAATTCCCGAGCAGCATTCGTAATCCCCGCTTCTCATATATTTGATCAGTTTGCTCTAATTGAGTCGAGTTTGTCTACTCTCCAAGCAGAGGTTGTGGGGGAATGATCGTTACCTTTTCATATATTGCCGTTTTTTTGTCCTGACCCCCACCGTCGGTGGCCGCGGACCTTCTCTGCTGGCTAATGGATACTGCCTGGCCAATTTGATACTGTCTTTTTGCCACCGAAAGGGATCTGCTTGGAGATTAGATTTTGTCCGTCCATAACATTGTTTGTTTCTGACTTAGGGATAAGAGATGCTGTTCAAGTAACCAGAACGGAATGACCTTATTATTAGGCGAGACTTTCTGTCACGAAAAGACGCAACACTCTCTCTGAAACTTAATGGATCGAAACCATTCCAGTTTCAATGGGGAAGGGAATGTAACCTCTCTGTAACCCTGTTTCTCATATTTGGCCAGTTTGTCAATGAGTCGGGTTCGTCCTGAACATTCATGTTTGTTTCTGACTTTGGGAGGAGGTGTTGCTCAAGTAACCTGGACTTACTCTCCAAGCAGAGGTTGTGGGGAAATGATCGTTACCTTTTTATATATGGCCGGGTTTTTTTGCCCGTCGGTGGCCGCGGAGCTTCTCTGGCTAATGGATACTGCCTGGCCAATTTGATACTGTCCTTTTGCCACCGAGAGGGATCTGCTTGGAGATTAGCCTGGACTTAGTTTAGTGCCTAGAAGTGGTCTTCTGGCCTTGCACTCAGTCGGTAAGAAAACGAATGGTGAACTTGAGAGTAGGTTGACAGCACGTGGGTGGGGGAATATTGACAGGCAGACTGACAGATCGAAAGGTCAGACACAGGAAATAGGGGAAACTTGAAGATCACGGAAATCTAAAATACCTCTGGAAAGTCTGAAATCTCAAGTTTTCTTGTCCAATTGTGAGCCTGGAGGAAGACTGTCCAACCATGCGTTCTTTAGCATCACAATATTCAAACCGACAGGTGTACAGGTGTGTTACCTGCGGGGAACCTACATCAAAGGACGTGCCGCTTCTATTTAATATGTCGTGCTGACAGGTGGTTTATTTTTAGACAACAATTTCTTGCTCTGTTTCAGTCTTGATAGCAAGAAGATGCCAATGTGTAGCTGCTTCCTGTTGCTTTTAAGCTGGTGTAAGATTTTAGTTGGAACGTCCATCAGGCTTGTTTCTCTTCGCTGGTTACTAGTACATGTATAACGCGATTATCGTAACAAGGTTAAGACAAGGCCATTTTTTCATGATTTCCAAGTGAAAAGATTCTGTAGCAGAATGATCATTATGGGACAGGGTGTGACATGCATTGACTGCAGGGTATGGCGTGAAAAATGGACAAAACAGGCGAGACATGTATGAAGAGCTACAGGGTCCGCGTACAATCGACGTTTCCTGATCGAACACGTCGAACACCCGATGTTCTATTTCGAACACATCGAATCCCTTGTTCTATTTCGAACACTTCCCTCCCGCGATGATTTTGACAGAGGCGTGTTCGAAATAGAACAGGGGGTTCGATGTGTTCTATATATATAAATAGAACAGTGGGTGTTCGACGTGTTCGATTGGGAAATGTCGATATTGTACGCGACCCTTGTAGCTCTTCATAAATGTCTCGCCTGTTTTGTGCATTTTTGTCCATAGAACACCTGTTCCCAGTAACCTTCACCTTCCCTGGACACGGATTCTGTGCCTGATTTAAACCTCTGTGTGGCAAAGGTTATCTACTAACCAGTGTCAACAGGACCTACTTTACTACTGGCACTGCCTAACTGCGTGCGAAAGTTCCCCGGGCACTCTGTAACATAATCTACCTAGACGGATCGCGAGTGAATACAACTGGGGTAGTCTAACAACCTGGGCGTTGTCACTGAGGACTTGGTCCAACATACTACTTACGTCGTACGATCAAAAACTGTATGCTTTCTTGGGATAGTTGTGCATGTATTCTGGAACGTTCAGAAGTCTTGTTACGTAAAATCATATCTTAGATCCTTGTCAGTCGTTGGTTCTGTCACAGCCTGCTTGAAAATCCTTCTACATGAAAATCTTGACCGAACCGTAACAGGCATGTCTGCGTTTGTTATTTCTGCACATATATCTATCACTCGTGTCATTAGTGGTGCGTACAACAAGGACACTCATGTCAACAGCTTACCGCACCCCAAACCTAGCGCGCAGCTACATGGTGGTCCGAACCCTTACCCTAACACACACTAGAGCATGGTCCCACATTCAGGGACTGCTTTTGGTAAACATTCAAACAGGGTGGAAAAACTGTGCCTCGTGATCGTGTAACTGTGTTCTGGGCAGGTCACTGACATATGCAATATGCTTGCTCAAACACGCACAAACTCATAAACACCTGCATAAATACGTATAAACCCACACACTTGGAACTGACTGCAAAGCACAGAGGAGAAAGAAAGAAAGATACAACCGAGAGAACTGACACTGAAAATATGATAGGCAAAGAAGAGAGCAGTGGGAGGGAGGGAAGAGAGAGAGAGAGAAAGAAAGAAAGAAAGAGGGGAGAGAGAGAGAGAGAGAGAAGGGGGAGGGAGAATAAATGACATGACATTTGGGGCAAAGATCGCTGACCCCTGAATCAACAGTCCTCCAACCTGTTAGCCACTCTACAGCCGATAACTAACAAAACAGGTCGCAAACACAGGTATACACACTTTCGAATTCACATTACATTCAAGAACAATAAATGCATCATTCTGAACATGATGCGGTCAAGGAAAACCGTCCAAACCTTGCCTGGTGTGTACGTCTGTCCGTGCCGGTGTGTTACCTGGTGTGTGTACGGTTGTTCCTGTGAGTGTGTTTGTACAGTATGGGACCCGGCTATCCGGTACACGGGTGTCAGGTGAGGGGCAACCCTAACGAGCCATGGCGACGGGGGCGTGGCCTCGGGAAAAGTTTTCAGGCTGTCAGACAGATCCTGATTGTTCATCAATCATAGCCTCCATAGCATGCCAAAAACTGGGGGTTTGGGGGGTCTTCAGGGTATTTGGGAGCTTTTATGTGCTCTTTTCTGATTGCATATAGACAACATAGCCGGCCTGATTACCCCCATTTTTAGAACTGGGCTAATCAGAAATCAGCCGAAGACCACCAAACCCCCAGTTCTATAAGCCTGCTACGGTGATATATGAGCACCCCTTCCCCCGTGCTCAGTTTGTGTTGCAAATGTGTCCCGACATATATATACCCCAAAGATGCTTCCACGTACATTGTACATATAGATCTCTCCAACTAGGAGATAACATGGTATACTGAAAGCAAGTCTTCTTTACAATAGACGTACTTGAACATCAATGACCCGAAGAACGAATGTATGGACCTGGAGAAGGAAAGGTTGACCAACTACAATACGTTGACCCCTGGCGCGACCAGAAATTGCAGAGGACGATCCCAAAGTGTTTCTGTGCTCCGGTCGCTATTCAGAATCTCCGTACAGGCGGAAAATGGGCACTCTCTGCGTGTTTTGGGGACAAAAAGGACAAGGAGCGACCTTGTTCATGTACAATAGAAACACACAGTGGAATCTCGAAGAGACCACTCCTTTTCCCCCGCAATTTGGTAGTAGAATAGATGGAAAGTACTGTAGATGGAGTGAGATGAACTTACTAGAATTCCTAATCATTTGTGGGCAGAGGTGTTTTAGATAATATCCAAACAGATTCATTCTATGGGGAAATGGGAGTCTATATTGGCTGCCTGTATCCATTGGCCGTATACTCCCCTCAGTGCCCCACAGAACCTGCTTGGACTGGGACATTATGTTTTCGAGGAACTTTAGAGTCGGGTTATATGATAGAGACACTCCTTGATACATATATATTCTATAACAAAAAGGCAGAGATCACCTTTGTTAGTAAACAAATGCTTTTCTTTCGTTAGATATGCTAGAAGCCCTCTTTGACGTTTTCTTGCGTTTTAACTTAAGGTACAAGAAACACACATATCGTCTCTTTCAGGAAAATATGGGGCAAAAACATTACAAAACGACAGGGCAAGTGTGTCTAAAAAGCTAAAGGTTCATTATTTTTCAGTCCTTTACCTATTTTCCCAAATGATACGTGCAAAATGCAGAACAACAACCACGGCAGTCTGCTAACATGAAATATAGAACAGTAAATTTGACCTAGAGAGTCCCAGAAAACTGACAGGGATGACCTGGGATGCCATTAATAAGCTGGCAGAAAGACGAAACAACGAACGTTTGACCTAAATCTGCGCAAATTCAATTCTAATTGTTTATACTTTAGTCACGCCACAAGTGCGCAAAACCAAACCACTGCACAGCAACAAAGAACAGAGAGAAGAAACCCTACGGGTTTAATTATTCCGCGATTTGCGCAAACCTCGTCATCACATTGATGGATTGACAAAACAGAAGTCCGGGGGAGGGGGGGGGGCTTGTTTCTTTACAAAGTGCGGTAGAAGTGAGATGTATGACTGTTTTGAAACTTCTGTCACGTCTGTGCAAGTCATTAGGGTCTAGAGAAGAATGTTTGTTGTACAACCGGGAACTTCTGTTTGAAAGTTTCAAGCTGTCAAAACGTGAGGACCGCAGCAGTAAGTGAAAGAACACATCTAAGCGTAACGAGGTAATTAAAACTAACAGTAGGGAGCCTCGGGTCGGAACACAGGAACATAAATAACCTGGTTCATCGGTAGCCTCCACCAGGCCTTTCTACGGGAAGATGGATCGTAGAATTCTGCAAATAAGAGAGTAAAATTGGCCAAGGGAGTCCGGCCGCGGGGAGGTAGTTTCTTTCCTTAACTGCGCGGCCAGTCAAACCTACAAGGCGGCCAAACTCTCCTGGCAAATATTCTCCTATACATAGCCAGCGTAGTTAGTCTGGTAGAGACTAGTTCTTCGTCCTGTCAAGAAAGGCGAAGAGCTCGGAAGATTAAACATTCGGGAGGCTGGTATGGGGGGTTGGCGGTATGCCAGAGTCGGCACTATTTGGAATCCTGGCCCCAAGAAGATGAGGAATGTAGGGGTCAAGGAGGAATCTGGTATCTTTGGACTTCCCCTATTTCGCTCTTTGGTGACAGTTGCACTCGTCGATTTGAAGGCAGAGATATTTAAAGGCAGAAGAAGTGAGGTAAGTAACAAGAAGACATAGCTTCATTCGCTAACTGTATATAGCTATTTTTCGTAGCCTGTGTGCCATTCTAGTTCAGTATTTGTATACTAGTCGGGGCTCCCATACTCTCTCCCCGAAAACTACTTTAGTGCCAGCGCGTATATTGTAAGGATCCCCGAAGCAATTCAGATGGCACACGTCCATGCAATTAAAGTTTTTCTCGGCTATCTAAAATACTAACGTCATGGAGAAGCATTGTGTTCATGGTTCTCAGTTTAAGATTCTTGGCGCGATCAACAAGTAGTTCCGCCGAGTTAGAAACAGGAATGAGGCGATCTTATCGTCTTGGGAAACTTGCGCTGAGGACGCAAAGAGAAAGTAGAAAGAAATTCAGTGAGAACAAAAACTCTTATACGTGCAGGGGTGTGCCCAGCATTTCGCCTCTCGCCTGACCAAAGACGACATGACTACGACGGTTACGTGGTTACGTATGATTTTGCCTCTACCAGGCTTCAGAATTGTCCAGATAGACAGATGACATGCCATGGGAGTTGCTCCACTCTAGAATTTGTCTGAGAGCGGCAAACTGTACTCTTAAGATCGGCACACTGTACTCCTTTAGCGGACCAACCCCCTTGCTATTTCGCCATGCAGTTTCTACACTTTCTAGTGTCTGAAGTCCGAGTCTGAAGCCTGGTAGAGACCAAAATGTGAACAGAAATATTACCTTCTGTGTCTTTCGTTGTCTTCCGAAGTCACTCTGGGAAACGTGGGCACGAAGGCAGATGTAGACCCTACTGAAGTTGCGCGTTTCGGGACACAAGCAGGACTCCTGCTAAAATATGCTCGTAGGCAGCTCCAATTTGATTCTGTGTTCTTCGGCAACAGAACGACGCGGTATCAGGCTCTCCACTGCATTAAGCAAGGAGACTCTAACAAGATTCATCAGACATCTATATTTGGGCGCCAGAAATTCCAGTCCTGTCAACAATGCTCTCATTTTCAGATGATGTGTGTTTTTGTTACCTTGATGGAATGTTCAATCACCATATGGCCGAGGAAAAAATGTTGTGTCTAGTTCCCGACCAACCCAAACAAAAACCTATGACTCTATGAGTCTCTAGCCTTTTTGAGGGCGTTCTACTGCCATAATATTTTTCGACCTGAATTTCAACCCCACCATTTTTTTCTTTTTGAGCACTGAATCGTTAATTGGAAACTCAACATTTCCCTGTTCTTCCTAGGCCTTAGTATCAAAAGTCAGGGGCATCGAAGGAAGGAGGGGTCTAAAACGCGACCCCCTCGAGTGAGGAGCCCCGTGTGTTAACACTGATAGGTGCCCAGAAAGGATGCCTGTCGGTTCACAGTACAAATGTATTATATAAACAGAAACAAGAGCTGCTAACACGTTTTGACACGCGAAGGTCGATTGGAAAAGCCTCTACCAGGCTTCGGGAGGCGTTTTTTCGCATCTTTGCCATTGGAAGACTTGGTGGTGTAACAATGTTGTCATTCGCGCCCCTTTTCCCTTCCTCTGGCATCTTCTTTTTTTCTTTTGACCTCTGTTATCCTAAAGAAACAGTATGGTTGCAAACTTCTTTTTTCTAAACTCATGAAATTGCGCAAAATTTTCGTTCGTTTCCCCGAAAAATGAATGGTTGCGACCAAGTTGGTTCTTTGGGGCACTTGGTTGCACCACCAAGCCTATCAAGTCAATGAAGATGTGAAAGAACAAGAATAAAGAATTCATTGTTTGGTCTGTGTGATCAGTCATTTGTTCAGTCATTTGAACCACATTTCATAAAGATCTCTTCTTCACGCTCGCATGAGCTTTTGAGTGCCCAGGGATGTCATCCATGTAATCAAATCAGTGTAGCGTTATAAGAAAGTACTGTTCAAGGGTTCAAAGTACTGTAGGTAAAGAGATTGTAGCCTCTGTAGCAGGCTTATAGAACTGGAGCTGTTTTCTGATTAGCCCAGTTCAAAAAACGGGGGTAATTCAACCAGACCGGCTATGTTGTCTATATGCAATCAGAAAATAGTACATAAAAGATCCCAAAGACCATGAAGACCCCCCCCCCCAAAAAAAAACCTCCAGTTTTTGGCATGCTATGGAGGCTAGGTACCCAGGCTAAATTGGAGGCTAAAGAGGTTGAACGTTAGGAGGCGTGACGGGTTGAGCACACAACAGGCGAGGATGTACGTGGAATGGTTAATTGGATTTCTCTTTCTTTGCGTTTGGATTAACGCTGATGCGGGCTGACGGCTTGGTGACCTGACGCGGGGTCACAGCAGCCGTGACGAACGGGGTTAGCCGTACGATATTAGCGCCCTTTTTCAGGACAGACTGGCACTGCAGCTAAGAGGCATACAAACACACACACATACACACACACACACATACACAAACACACACGCACGTACACATACACACACAGACACACGCACACACACACACACACACTCATACACACACACACACACAGACGCACACTCACAGACACGCACACACACACACACACACACACACATACACAAACACACACGCACGTACACACACACACAGACACACGCACATACACACACACACACACACACACACATACACACACACACACACAGACACACACACATACACACACACACACAAACACACACACACACACAAGTCAGGGAAAAAGTTTGAAATCAGTGAAAATTTTAATAACATTTAACAACATCAACATAAACATCATTGAGTTAGTGATACAGTGCCTCAGAATAATTACCGTTGTGAACAATGATTTCTACGTATCAAAATTATCTGAATATAGTGCGTGTTTAACGATTATTGTACATGCAACATTTAGATAGAATAGGTGCGATACGAACGTGAAGAAACAACTGCGATTTAAAAGTGTTAGAAAACTTATTGAACAAAAACTTTACTTTAGTGACATCTTGACTACGTATGATTCTTACTCTACACCTACCTCCAGGTAAAATGTGTTATAGACAACCAGAATTAGAAATAACTGTATAAATGCTATTCGGAACTTGTCTCTACTAAAACGCTACACCAATATGAACAGTATAAATAGTCTACAGCTACTGCAGTGAAGTTTAGACTGACTTCAACGTTTTGACTCACATGCGACAAGAATGCTGCCGTGGTATAAAATACATGAAGTCATCTCTGAAGTAGATGTTAAGAACATTTGGAAACAGTGTTAAAAAGTTAAGTAGAGATAACATTTTGATAACGTGAAAAGTACAGTAAAAGCTATTTTGCTGGAGTATGTACTATTTCTTTGAGTATTTACTTGGTACATGTAACCTACTATAACCTCACTATACAAAGATACCGGCCTATACTCTCTGTTCTATAGTATATGTCATGATTGGTTAATTTCAGTTTACAGTTGATTACTAAATTTCGATACCGCCTATCCTCTGTAACTTTGTTACCTTACTGTCCATGAATTTTGGATGAAAACATAAAGTTTTTCGTCCACACTCCTGCTTGAATTCGCCCGTCTTTTTCTTAACCCATAGTTCAGTTCAGTTCATTCTTATGGTGACGCCATGTACTGCCTCCAAAAGTTACTGTCTCGCATAACCCGTCTCATAACCCGTATATATGTATATGCAATGCCCTGGATTCCAATCTCTCTTATAAATGCAAAGTCTGGAGTTCCGTAGAAATCCCCTAGGCGGCTTTTTTTTCCTTTTCTCTCGCCAAGTTACCCGCTATACGTGCTTGATGTCCTTAGAAATCCCATAGGCAACGTTATGAGCACATGAATTTTGGATGAAAACACAGTTTTTTTCCTCTCCACTCCTGCATGAATTCAAGTCGTCGAACCCATAAACCGTATATATGATGTACTATCGCAAAGTCTGGACTTCCTTAGAAATATTCCCTATAGTATGCGTGCTATACGTGCGTAGCCAGGTAGGAGTTTTGCGGGTCTCCCGCGTCAGATAGTCTCATGGTGCTGCCGACTAGCGGCTGGTTTCCGTACTGCAGCCCGTTCACCGCGATGGGCTTGAACGCGCGCCGACTGTCCAGCGAGTCGAAATAGTCGCTGTGGTACGCGGGGTTACTGTGGGTGTGGTAGTTGATGATCTGGCTCCCGCGCATGCTCGGGTGGTCGAGGCTGCCCGTGTCCGAGGAGTTGGCGGCGTCAGCCTTTGATGTCACAGGTGGGGCGCCCACGTGATCGGTGTGGATGGCGGGAGCTGGGAGGGTGGTGGTGAGGGGGTAACTGCGCATGTACGTGTTCTGTGGCAGCTCGGCGCTTCCAGGACTGGGCTTTCTACCCCGGGAGTTGTTCACAGTAGACCTGTGCCTGCTACCGCTACTACTTCTGGGCTTGTTGACGCGGCAGATGCAGAATACAAGAGCCGAGATGAGAAGAGCGGACAAGAAAGACGCGATGATTATCAGCGTGAACTCCGTCACCGTCAGGACGACGGCGTCACCTGACGCACCTGACGCGCACGTCGTCGACGTCGTGTCGTTGCTGACGTTGGCGGCGACGTGCCAGGCGGCGAAGGCGAACCCCGCGGCGTTCGACGCCATACACACGTACGTGCCCGCGTCTTCGGCGCTGACGTTCGTGACGACGACGGCGCCGTCGCGACGCAAGGTGACGTCTTGCGTCGACGTCTCGACGGTAACGTTCTCTCCCCGTGCGGTCGTGACGGTCAGCTCGGGAACGGGGAAGCCCTCAGCGGTGCACTGGAGAGACAGAGCCCGGCCGGGCCCCGGCAGGACATCGTCCCCGGAGAACACCACAGTCGGCTCCGTGCACAGCAGACGCTCCAGCACCACATCATCCAGAACCCGGCCCTGGGAGGGAGGGAGGAATCAATTAATAAATTAATTAATGAATATGATCTTTATTGACACAACAAAAGTACAGCGACTTTCGTATGGTCTTTAACTAAATGTAGACATACAGACAGAAACGTGGGTACAACAAAATTAACCTACGTACAAAACGATAGATGAATCAGCTTATACTATTTGATCTAAATTGAATGAATGAATGGTTTATTTGATAATTTTGATCATGTAAAGTAGATGGGCTGAATTGCCTACTTGTTACATATTCAAAACCCGTTGGCTCTTTGAATACCGATTAGCGTTAGCGCCAATTTTATCTTTCTGAATTTAACAATATAAAACGCAAGAAACGCTACCTGCAGGTTCTCCGGTGCTGCACAGACGATCTGGTTCTTGATGGTTGAGGCTGTGTTGAGACGGAGCCAGAGAGAGGCCGCCTGCATGCTGCAGTCGCACTCCCAAGGGTTGTTCGTCATCTCAAGACTCGGGATGGCGCCGAGAACTTCAAATCCCTCAATAGGCAGCGTCTTCAAGGAGTTGAAGCGAAGTCTCAAGGTGTTGAGCTGAAGGAGTTGCTTCAAGACGGTGTAAGGCATCTCGGTTATCGTGTTGTTGCTGAGGTCTATTTCCTGCACCGCCGCCAAACTCGAGAACGCGTACTGCCCCACGGACGTGATGTTGTTTGCGGCCAAGTTCAAGGTCTGCAAACTCGTCATACCGTTGAGACTGAAGTCACCCAAGGCCACGATCTGGTTATTCTGAAGTTCAAGGTCCTGAAGTCCGGATAACCCGCTGAATCCGTTCGTGTCGATGATTTCTAACTCGTTGTCGAACAGAGTGAGGATAGTCAGAGAGGTGAGGCCGGGAAACGCGTTCTCCGTGATCCGAACCAACTTGTTCCCGCTCAGGTACAGCCCCTGCAGTGCGCTCAGCTCCCGCAAGGCGGTGGGCACGGTCCGCAGCAGGTTGTTCTCCAGGCGGAGCTCCGTGAGTGACGTCAGACCGACGAACGCGTTACTGGTAATGCCGTTAATCAAGTTATCCTGGAGGTATAACTTAGTTAGCGATCTCAGATCGTCGAACAGAAAATCCCCCAAAGTTGTGATCGCGTTCTCGTACAGATACAGTTCTTGGACCGACGCGATCCCAGAGAAAGATCCTTGGACAAGAGATCCGATCTGATTTCTGTATAGATGGAGCTCCGTTAGCTTTACCATGCCGCGGAACGTGTTAGCCGCTATGGCGGTGAGGTTATTCTCGGTCAAGTACAAGTTCGTCAAGTTCTCCAGCTTCAGGAAGGTGTTTGGTAGGATCGTGTCGATGGGGTTGTTGGTGAGAGTTAACCATTCCAGGAGCCCGAGGTTTAGAAAGGGAGTCGGGGTTAGGGTTTGTATCTGGTTGTTCTCTAGGAAAAGACGCACTGTGTCAGTAGGGATGCCTGTCGGTACGCTGGTTAGCTGTTTCGCTGTGCAGAATACAAAAGTGTTGGTACACTCGCAGGTGGTCGGGCAAGTCTGCGCGTTACAGGACGACATCAGCAGCAGGGACACGGCCAGGATCGACACGCAAATTCTCCTCACTGTCGCCATGTTTGTTGAAGGCGTGAGCACGGTGGAGTCACTTCCGACGGACGTGGTTTCAGCGGAGTCTGCAACAAAGGAGAA